TAAATCGGATTGTCAATACGCTGATTATACCAGGTAAAAGAGCTACCAACATATTGGAGATCTCTTAAGCAATTATCAAAGATCATATTATTAAAATCAGCTAAAGACCCTTGAGAGATGGGCGAGCCCCCTAGCTTTTTCGAGATAAACCGGCAATAGTTAAAGTCACCCATAAGAATCCATGGAATATTCTGATGAGGAGTGACTTGAGAAATGAGGGCCCAAAAATCCTTTCTCTCAGCACAACTATTAGAGGCATAGATAGTCATGAGAAAGAAAGGAGGAAGAGAACCAACCGAAACAAAACCAGAAATGAGCTGAGTAGAGATATGAGCAGAGGTGAAATTAATTTTGCTAGCATTCCATTTGATCCAAATCCTGCCCTAAGTGGAGAGATCAAAATTGTTACAGCTTTGTTCATTGGGAAAAAACAGAGTGAGCTTCTTCAAAAAAGGACTTTTTAGAGAGGAAGAATGAATTCTAGCCTCCAAAATACATAATAGATCCAAATTAAAAGAATTAACCAAACGCTTGCAACACGGAACTTTGTCAAGGCGATTAAATCCCCTGACATTCAAAATTGCAATAGGCGGTAAAAACAACAGGAATTTGAGTTTGAAGGGGCCTTCTTAGTCAGCTTACCCCTAGCAGATTTCTTTACCACAGCATAGAAAGAAGATTGTTGTGAATTTGCTTTAGACTATTGATTTTTATTCACCGCTTCATTAACCATTTCAACACATTTAGAAAAATCCGGAGGCTTGGCTAGCTCCGACTGAGATTGCAAGACTTCAAATTTATTAGGATAGATGACTCCCGGAGGGGAGATAGCGTCCTGGCTTTTAGAAGCACTAGTTGAAGAAGAAGAAGCCTCTTCCATGGGAGAGTTAAGGTTTGGGATATGTCCAGCTGGGATCTGGCCAGCCTCCAAAAAACAGGGGATGTTAGGAGTGGGAATGGTATTGGGCTTGGAAGGGGGATTATCAAGAGAGGTAGTGATGCTGCAATTGTGTTGTGGAGGGGGAGGAGAGTGGGGTTGGTATTGAGGTGGAAGCCCAAGACTGTTAGAGACGGAGGATTTATTTAATATTTTTGATGGCGTAGGGTTAGAGACCAAGGGAATGGAGTCCGTAACGAGTTCAGCTTGAGTCTGAATGGCAGAAGAGTTTTGGTTTTTTCTGGTTGAGATGAGGGATGATGTTTTCTGAAATTCCGACTGTGGCTTCTTCCTCTCGGGGGGTGATTCATGTGCACAATAGATGTGGAATTGTCGTGTTCTTCAGCTTGCGGTTTAGAAGGACATAGAGAGGAGTAGTGAACAAGAGACTTATAGTGGTCGCAGGGAGTATGTCTCCATTCGTATTGTACTTTCAGAGCAACAACATCGCCATCCAAATAAACCAAAATTTCTTATGGGTATTTCAAATTGCTGTCCACCAACACACATACCCAAGTATATGTGAGGCGAGTTTTTTTAACAGTGAGAGCATCTGCAGTAAGGGGAACACCAACTTTGCTTGCAATCCTAGAGATACCTTCCGAATTCCAGCATGCAAGAGAAAGATCATGAATCTTTATCCAAATGGGGACTGAAGATAAGTTTTCTCTTTTCGGCTTAAACTTAGGGTGTCATTTTTGCATGATGAAGGGTTTACCAAGGAGGAACCACACTCCTCTAGACCAAACCAAATCTAAATCTTCCGAGCAAGCAAACCTGAACAGAAAAAAGCCATCGCTGAGAGAAAGCATCTGCAACGATCCCTTCAGGTTCCAAGTTTTCTTAACAGCTCCAAGAAACGCTTCATAAAAAGGCATGCGGCAAATAGAATATCCCACCAAGCAGTGAATCCAATCTTCTGCTCCTTGGGTCAATTTATCTCCAGAAAAAGGAACAATTTATGGTTCATGAGGAAAATGGGATAGTTGAAGGTCAGTCGCCGAAGAGACTTCAGGAGCAAAGGCAGATAACCAGTTGCGTTCAGGAAGCGAAGAAGGTCCCGCAGCAGAGGTCAAAGGGGGAAAATCAGAAATGGGAAGTGAAGGGTCCATGGAGAAGGGCGGTGCAAAGCAGCAGAGAAGAGGAAAAAAAGAAACCCTAAAAGAGCTCCCAAACTGAGTCAACTCCCGTGTCGTCTTAACATCACTTTTTTTTCTCAATATTGATGTTTACTAAATCAAACCCCCTGTCCTCCTCTATTTGGAGCAGCTGCCATGCCGACTGGTCCATCACTCACTCACTCTCTCTCTCTCTCTCTCTCTCTCTCTCTCTCTCTCTCTCTCTCTCTCTTATCTATATGAATTCTCTCTCTAGAGGCTACCTTCATCTGTGTTTGAGCTTTTTCCTTTTGTTTTTGGCAGTTGTGGGACTGACGCAAAGGGACAACAGAGAACAGGAAAAAGAAAGGAAAGGCGGTATCTTGAGTCCTGCAAAGTTATTGTTATCATTATGTTTAAGTTGCTCAAATTCCCTTCTTCCTCTCTTTCCCCATCCTTTTCTATCGCTCCGCCATTCTCGTCGGTGGCTGAATGGGAATATGTAGGAGAAGCTGCCTCGTATTCACGCCTTCTTTTCATCTCAGTTTCTTCGGATGCGATCATGGCTTCAGTTTTATGCATTAAAGGTATCTTTTTGGTCCTAATCAGCTAACGTACCAGCTCAAGGATGAAGATAAGTACAGTAGGAAAAGAACCAAATTGAACTCATTTTAGACCACAGAGCAAATTTCAGGGAAGGTTGGTTGTTTGTGCAAAAGTGAACCGAGTCTGGCAAAGGTGTGATTAGCATGCTATCAAGTGCTAGCCAAACTCAGGGACTCACAGTTCACGACAATCGAGTAAAATAAAATGTATTAGCCACTCAGCCCAAGGCTCAACGGTTGGGGAACTTCAACTCCCCAGTCACGACATGCGATCGAGTGTCAGCATTGGCTTATATATTGCAAAAGTAAAAAAGAAAAATGCATTAATGCAAATGCCAGATATGAAGTCAATACAAAGATGTATTGCTGGGGCAAACAAAATGTCAAAAATGAGATTCTGCAAAATAAGTTGAATTCTGAGCAAAAGGCTAAGAAATTCAGGAATCAATGATGATGAGGCCATGGGTGGAACCACATTGGATCTTGCCCACCCTCAAAGTTTTTTTTTTTCTTAAAGAAGATGCTAGTTTTCAAGAGTTTACCCCCCTCAGTTTACAATTTTGCTCAATCCTGACCAAAAAATGCCCAATTTAATCCTTTTATCCTCAATGGGCTGGCCGTTTAAGTAATTAAGATAAAAGTCCATAACTTTTACATTCTTGTCTGTTTATCTTTTTCTCTTATAAATTTGGTAGTATTATCTTACCAGTTGTTCGTGTCTTTCCTCTAGAAGCACTAATTTTATGTACTTATATTCATCTAATCATTATATAATTTTATTAGTTAAAATTTTACCCAACCTGCAAAAAGAGCTAGTTCCACCTTTGGAGTAAACTTTAAGAAGAATAGAATCGCATTAAAATAAGACACAATTACCATTCAGAATCACAGAGAAGGGGTGGGGTTCGCATAGTATTAGGAGGCTATTGAATGCCAAAATCAATATCTTGAATATCATATTAAATAAAATAAATGGACATTAATTTTAACAAAAATTCAAACTGGGAATCTACAAAACAGCATGAATTTTGTGCAAAAGGTTGCACAAAAAATATATAGTAATGACCTGACATTACAACATAAGAAAGAAATAGTGCACAGTATTAAAGCATGCGACATGAGAAACACAGTATATTTAAGCAAAACTAGGAAAAGTTTTGCTTTGCAGAGACTTTTGACTTGCTGGGGATGAATCATATTTAAAAGTTATTAGTGGCTGAATCTGCTGGAAGTAAACCGTGCATTGAAACAACCAAGAAAAAAATAGCAGAAAAGAACATAAGGATATAATGTGGAAAAACTCAAACAGAAGAATTATGTTCAAGGCGAAGCCCCCGAACCCCCTAGCAGAGGGCATGCAATCACCCGGCAACCCCCCAACGAGCCCCTCATCGAGTTCAACTGACGGAATTGAGATCAGAGTCAACAGTACAACCCAATTGATCAACACAATCAGATTCCACACAAAACTAACATAGTCGATATGTTTTAGTTCATGGCTATTAATTTTGACATTCAAAAGTTCCAAAGTTGCTCCTATTCATTGGATGTTGTCTTAATTTCATAAACTGACCAATTTCAATTACCATTCACTGTTAGGGAATTTGGGCTAAAGCTGGTGTTGGCATATGAACTGCATTATGGAGTTCACCGATGATAGTTGTTAGAAGGAAAGAGTAGGAAAAATCCAATATGATGGCCACAAAACTGAAGTCCCTAGCCCTGTATTAGATATGTTAAATATCTGGATATTTGTCTATGAAAACAGCTTCTCATTAAGCATTTAAAGCATCAATGGAGCAACAAGTTGATTTCATAAAGCCCATTGATGAAAACAAAGTCATTTAGGGGAAAAAAGGAGAGATTGAACAGAAAATACATTAAAGATGACTACACAGCAAGTTCATAAAGAATGTTAGAACTCTGAGGAAAAAAAACATAGCAGATCTCTAAAGCATGTAGTAATATGACTGGAGTGAAAATATAACTGAATGAACAGAAGTACTAGCCAATAGATTATTAGATTATAACATTTGTAAACAAAGTCATAAATAGAATAATACTCTGAAGAAGAAGAAATGATAAACAAAAAGAACTACATTGATAAAGTAAGGATATAAAATTGATAGATTTCATTCTATTAATTCTATGATTCTATCTTCACCACAGATATTACCTATAACAATTTAGAAGTTCATCATAAATTCCCAAAATTCTGTAAAGTTTCATCCTCCTGTGGCCAACTAAGAAGATGTAATTTGTCCCTTTACAAACAATCACAATTACTGAACTATAGAGGGAATTGTATGCCTGGATAAATAAATATGTAATTAACTGAGCCTAACTTTATAAGAAACTCACCAACATAGGGAAGAGCAGACTTCTGTTCTTGCAATTGTCCTCCATGCCCCTCACTCAAATGAATCACAGAAACCATTCGATTCTTATCATTTCCTATCATACTTGAGGTAACCAGAGCACAAGGAACACTTGCCTGTGCCCCAAACAAGCCTGCACCATTATGCGTTGGAGCTCTACAACCACCAGAAAAAACCTGATTATTTGTCACCACGTGAAACTCCAACTCTGTTGAACTCTCCAGATCAATAACACCCTTACAACCAAAGTTGCCAACCCGATGATGGAAGGCCGGATTTTCGCCCTTATTTCTGATAAAATTATCAGCAAAAAGGTGAAGGCTAAACTCTCGCTCATGATTTTTTAACAAATCAGCGGTGTTGTCCTTAAACGCTTCGAAAACACCCGCATTTCCAGCCAGCGAACTCTGCAAATATTTCTCCTTTAGCGCCACAACAAACCAGCGAACTTAACTGTCTGGTTAAATAAATTTTACCTCTTTGGCTCGAGAGGACTTAGAGAATGCGTTTTTCTTCTCCTCCGACTCCTTATTTAGCCATGAATAGCTACTTGGGCCATCTGTATGGAACACCTTCACTCGAAGCTCATTCATCAAATTCTTCTGAGTCCAGTAGAGCCGATGAAGCTCACAAACCTAGAGCATTACAAAGAACCTCAAAACACTCATTATCAAAATTAGCAATTTTTAATCCCGCGGCATCACTGCAATGAGAAGAAACCAACGAACCTGATTCCTGAATATGACTTCATGCTGAAGCATTGCCTGCTTTAATCTTTCCATCGTCGAATCCCCAAAAGCCTGCACGGAACGGTTGAGATTCAAATCCCCGCTCCTCAACATCATATCACGCAAACTTTGCCCGGAGAATCTAAAACCGAAATCAAAGATATTGAAACAAATAAAATTTTCATCAAAATGCCAAAAAAGAAAGATTTTGCAGGTACGTTAGCTGATTAGAGATCAAAAAGAGACCTTTAATGCATAAAACTGAAGCCATGATCGCATCCGAAGAGACAAAGATGAAAAGAAGGCGTGAATACGAGGCGGTTTCTCCGACAGATTCCCATTCAGCCACCGGCGAGAACGGCGGAGCGACAGAAAAGGATGGGGAAAGAGAAGAAGAAGGGAATCTGAGTAACTAAAAAATAATAATAAGAATAACTTTGCAGGCCTCAAGATACCGCCTTTCCTTTCTTTTTCCTGTTCTCTGTTGTCCCTTTGCGTCAGTCCCACAGCTGCCCAAAAAAACAAAAGGAAAAAGCTCAAACGCAGATGAAGAGAGCCTCTAGAGAGAGAATTCCTATAGATATAAGAGAGAGAGAGAGTGGCGGACCAGTCGGCACGGCAGCGATCCGCTGCCCCAAACAGAGGAGGACAGGGGATTTGATTTAGTAAGCATAAAAATTGAGAACAAAAAAACTGCATTAAATGCATGATAGCATCTGAGAGCGCATTTACAGATTTGCCCCTACAGTTTGGTGAGTACCTTCCGTAACCTTTTCTTCTCGGGAGAGATTGAAGAGGACGAAATTGACTTTTTGTTCATGCATTTAATTAAAGTGGGAGAATAAAATGATAAATTCTAGCGTGAATATCGAGGCGATCTACAACCGTCGGTTGAAGATAGAACTATCTGACGGCTTGGAAGACGTTGGGGGAGATTATTTGTCGGGTTAGCTATAGATTTCAGTGTGAGAAAAAATATTGATAATATAATAATAATAATAATGAAATAGTATTTGTTTATATATAGATAGTTTATTTATGAAGTTTCTTTATCAGAATTTGGGATAATTAATGGTCATCGAATTAATAATCAAACGAGTAGGTATGACTATAAGTAGATTTGGGAATGAATTTGATAGCTCCTCTTCAACTTAGTTTCAAAATTAAGAAAGCCCATTTTTAAATTACTATCCCAAAAATTTTGTGCACTGATTTTAGACTTCTTGGTTTCTGCAATATTTTTTTATAAAATTATTGCAAAGTTGTTGGCTATCCCGTTGAAACTCATCATGCCCTTTATCACTCATAATAGTCAAATGGTTTTCATTACCCAACACAGTCTTGGTTTATGCAATAAATGATTTTTTTTTTTTCCATCATCGTTCGGACTCAGGCAAGGCTGCCCTATCAGTCTGTATCTCTCATGTATTATTATAGATTCTCTTTCATGTCTTCTTGAGAATAAAAATCAGATTGGGGCTTTTGAGGGGTTCAAATTGAATGATTTTCAGCTATCACACCTTCTCTATGCAGATGATCTATTAGTATTTGGGAAAGCGAAAACTCAAAACTATTATCACCTCACTAATAAATTAATTTATTACTAATGATGACCATTAATTGTCCCAAATTCTAATAAAGAAACTTCATAAATAAACTTTCAATGTATAAACAAATGTTATTTCATTATTAGTATTGTTATGTTATCAATACTTTTTTTCACATTGAAATCTATAACTAACTCGACAAACTATCTCCCCAATGTCTTACAAGCCGTCAGATAGTTCTATCTTCAACCGACGGTATCAATTATGTACATGATTCTTGGGTTTAGTAAAGGACAGACAAAATGACCTCCAAATGCAGTGAAATTTTAAATATATGTAAATGAATGCCTATGCCTAAGGGTTTAAGGTAAAAATTGTCAGATATATTATCAACAAAGATAAAATTAATAACTTAATCTGGGATAAAAAGGGCATATGGGCTTGCAAAGACTATTATGCTGAGAATTTTTTTTAATGAACCTAATTTTGATTGGGATTCTTTAATTTGGCACAAGAAACATTCCCTCAGATTGTATGTATTACAGCTGAAATTAATGCATGATAAAAGATAACAATATATTATAAATCATATAAAAATATATATGCATCAATATCTATATATTAATTAATCCTTCTATAGTTTATCATAATTTAATATTTTATATCATTAGTCACAATATCATTAACAACCAATAGTACTAATGCTAGTAATAATATTAATATCATGATCCATAATATTAAATAGTATTAATGATAGTAAAAAATATTAGTGTCAGCCATAATATCAATAAAGTGTTTGTAGTAGTGTCGATATCAGTATGCATATATTCAGTGAGTGTATCTTAAGGATATATTGCTCCTGTATTTATGACTCTCAATAAGTTGCCCCTTATAACTCCCAATCAATGTACTACTTATAACACCCATCAAATCATGTGAATCAGTCACTCTGACTCCTTATAACTTCCAATCAATCTACAGCTCCTCATGACTCCTAATCAGTAAATTACGTGGATTAGTAGGATATCACGTGGAGTTATCATATCATGTATCTGATATCATTCAATACTTCATTTAAAATGTAATAATATTATATTAAATCATTCAAAATAATTAAATTTATAGCATATCCAAATTATACTATGAAAGCTTATGAAATTAGAAGGTAATATACTTTTCACAAATTTAGGACAAATAAAATTGGTAGAAATCAAAATTATTGAAAACATAAGTAAGAGATTAGTCACTTAAAATGAATAAAATAAAATTTTTTATAAGAATAACTAAAAATATGATATAAAGATCTCTCTCTCTCTCTCTCTCTCTCTCTCTCTCTCTCTCTCTCTCTCTCTCTCTCTCTCTCTCTATCTCTCTTTCTAAAATAGAAGTAAGAGATTAGTCACTTACATCGTAGTCGAGTCACGGTGGTATGAATAATCATAATTTGTGGGTGACGAAGGTCGGAAAGATGGTTGTAAGGCGATGAAGGTCAAAAGGATTATTGTATGGTGATAGAGGTTAGAAATATCATAATCGGTGATCCATGAAGGTCAAAAAAACTGTTATTAGATTATGGAGGTCAAAAGACTGTAGTATGGTGACAGCTGAAAGATTGTAGTTGGCGGGCAACAGGGTTGGAAGGATCGTAATCGATGGGAAATGGTGGTCAGAAACATCGTTGTCTGATGATGGAGGTTGAAAAGATTATAGTATAGCAACGAAGTTCGGAATGACCATAGTCGGCAGGCGACAATGATCAAAAAGATAATTGTATGGTGATGGAGGTTGGAAGGATCGTAGTCGGCAGGCGACAATGGTTATAAAGACTGTTGTTTGGCAAAGGATGTCAGAAGGACATCCGAAGATAATTGATGGTCGGAGCTAAGCCAGATAATAATTAGAAGTCGGGTAGAAATTCGGCGTCAATCGGTGGCGGCGCGGAATTCTAGCATCGGTTAGTGGCTAGGTAGAAGTCTGGTGTCAATTGGTGGCCAAGCAGAAGTCTGAGGTTAGTCGGTGGCTGGACAGAAGTTCGGCGCCAGTCCGACGATGGTCGGTGGTCCATGTTGGTCGAGGAGGAGTTTGGAGGCAAGAGAACTGTAGTTTCTCCATCTTCCTTATCTTCCTTGCTTGAGTCCCCTTCCCATGAGGAATAAGATATTTATTTATAATTTTTTGAGATTAGCAGGACCAGTAAATAAGAGAGAGATCAAAGGTAAGTTTGGAGTAGTTTGAATGGATGACCGATGTTGATCCCCTTAATTGTGGACCATTTATTGGGTATTTGAATGTCTTAATGATATCATAATTTGACGATATGAGCTCGTTGGATTCGTCTCATCGAGTCGCTCGATTCGATTATAAGCATGTCACTTTTGGAAATCTTTTTGTCATCCAATTTATTGTTTGAACTTCCTAAATGTGCTTTGAGTCTTTGATTTGGACTCACTTGGGCTCGGATTGAGTCAAATTTGGTGTCGTTGGGTTCGTATTTTTGAGACGTTTAGTTCGACTATAAGTTTACTGAAATTAGAGTTCGAATGGTCCCAGTTTAATTTCGGAAGTTTCTAACTTGATTTTGCCTCGAGATTCATGCCCCGATCAAGATAAAATTTTGATGATATATCAATGCTAAATTTGGAGAATAAAATGATATTAAGCTTTTCTATTTTGGTTTCTAAATTTCCTTTTTAAACAATAGTTTTAAATATATATTTCTTAAAAAGAAAACAGCTTTTTAAAGACAAAAGCCTTAAAAATTTTGTCAAAAAATTATCTTTCAAATGCACATTATTTTTTAGAAACAACTTTCATACTATAAAAGATGACTTTAAAAGTTGTTCATAACAAAGCCTGAAAGTGTGCATCGAGATTCGTATTCGATGGACCTAACTCTTGATTGTTTACTTACGAACATGAACAAATAATAATTGACATTTGCATTGTTTAAACTAAATTTAGGAGAGATCGGGCCTGTGGCCTGACGGTTGATGGAAAATCTTCCACCCGTTCTCAGCTAGGCTCAAATCCCTTAATCTGTCCAAAAAAAACCCTAAATTTACAATACCTTAAATTTTTGAAATAAAAAATTGCTTGGTTCAATTTTGAGAAATTCAGCAAATATATAAAAAATAAAAAAAAATAGTTAACATTTCCATTGCAATCGCCATAATATAATGTTATAATTGGCCCATAAATTATATATTATTAATTATTTATTCCATTTTTCTTGACGTTTAAACAAAGTCCCAAGAAAAGAGAATATTTATTATTTTTCTTCCTAAAGCGCTTTGTACTGACCGAAAGGTCCACACCGGCGTTACTAAATTAATGCTGCACCAAAAGTAGATCAGCACCAAAAAGCTTTGTTTTATTATTGAATTGATACATAAATACTTTGCTATTATTAAATAAATACATTTTCCCTATTTGAAAAAAAATGTTTAATTTTAAAGATATTTTAATTAGAAAACTGTCATTAGCTTTGCTCTTAAATAGAAAACTTTCTCTTTTTTTATTATTTTCTTAAAAAGTAATATAGAGTTTTATTTTAGATATTTTATTAAGTAAAACAAATATATAATGAATTTTTTTAGATACATTTTTCTTCATTCTTCTATTAATTTATCCTCTATTTTTAGATCTTATTTCACACATCACTACACTGTATTTCGAAAGCATTATCAATTTAGAAACTTAAAAAATTAAATCAGAGAACATCTGAACTATGATTTTTAATAAACTTACAGTCGAACTAAATGTGTCAAAAATATGAATCAAACAACATCAAATTCGACCAAATCCGAGCTCAAATGAGTCCAAATCAAAGACCCAAAAGCACATTTGGAATGTTCAAAACATAATTTGGATTACCAAACAGTTTTCAATCATGACATGCTTATAGTCGAATCAAATGGTTCAATGCGATGAATCCAAAGAGCCCAAGATCGTCAAATTATGATATCATTAAGACATTCAATTACTAAATAAATGGTTCATAATCAAGGTATTCATCATTGGTCATCCATTCAAACCACTCCTAATTTACCATTGACCTTTCTCCTATTCACTAGTATGTCACTCTCATAAAACTATAAATAAACTCTTCATTTCTCATGGAGGGGGA